GACATCAGTGTAAATCGTGCATTTAAGGTGGCGCTCCGTGTTCAGTGGGAGGCTTGGATGACAAATCTTTCACTAAAACGGGCCGCATGCGAAGAGCAACTTATGGTCAAGTCTGCCAGTGGATCCTGACAGCGTGGAGCACTGTCAAAAAATCCACTATAATCAACGGGTTACAAAAGATTGGACTGCTGCGTGTTGAAGAGGGCAGCACGAGCTCAGTGGGGAATTTGCCTCCAGATGAAAATGACGAGAGCGACAATGGAAACGATCCTGAGACAACATCAGATGAAGTAATTCTGAGGCTGTTCGACTACGACACCAGTGCGCAGGAGGAGGAAGACAACGACCAATGATTTTCTTGGTAGGCTACTGTTTTGTTACAAGCCATGTTACAGGCACCGTCTTTCGTTAAAGCCTGTGTAAAATTCATTTGTTTCAATGTAGGCACCTGCGGCTTATATACATGTGCGCCTTATTTATGTTCAAAATAAGTATTTTTTTAAAAATCAGTGGGTGCGACTTATATTTAGGTGCGCTTAATAGCCCGGAAATTACGGTACTTTAAGCCAGTGTAATGTTGTGAAAATGTGCAGTACAAATACAATTGAATTGAATTATACAGATAAAGCCCCAGACCTTCTGTTCCTGTTTAGTCCAGCTAACCACTGCTAACCAAGCCTAAATAAGTACAGGTACTCCCCATTTACCTCATTGGTGGAATCCTCCAAGCAGGTAATGAGAACCAGAAGGTTGGACATAGAGAAGAAGTCCCACAGTCTTCTGCATCTGGCCCAGGTGATCAAGGCTGACATATTAGCTAAAAAAAAAAAAAGACAAAAAATCTGAAATACACAACAATGGAATTACCCCACAACTGAAAATGGGAGCGTTATAATTTAACTACATTTTATATTCATCCATCCATTATCCGCCCCTTATCTGTGGTTGGTTCATGGGGGCAGCAGTTGAAGCAGGGATACTCAGACCTCCCTCTCACCAGCCACCTCCTCCAGCTCCCCCGGGGGAATGTCAAGGCGTTCCCAGGCCAGCTGAGAGATTTAAATCTCTCAAGATTGTCCTGGGTCTGCCCCGGGGCCTCCTCCCAGTTGGACATGTCTGAACAACCTCCCTAGGGAGCTGCCCAGCAGGCATCCGAGATAGATGCCCAAACCACCTCAACTGGCTACTTTTGATGCGGAGGAGCAGCAGCTCTACTTTGACCCTCCCGAATGTCAGAGCTTCTCACCCTCTCTCTAAGGTTTAGCCCAGACACCACACAGAGGAAACTCAATTCTGACACTTGTTTCCGCAATATCATTCTTTCAGTCACTACCCAGAGCTCAGAGTAAGGGTAGGAACATAGATCAACTGGTAAATCGAAAGCTATGATTAAATCGTAAATCGAAATACTGCCCACAGTCCACCGATCCGTCTGCTGATCTCCCGCTCCCTTCTTCCCTTTGAAGAAGACCCCAAGATATTTAAATTCCTCAGCTTCAGGCAGTAACTCATCCCTCACCAGGAGAGGGAAATCCTTTTTCCGGTAGAGAACCATGGCCTCAGACTTGGAGATGCTGATCCTCATCCCGGCCACCTCACACTCAGCTGTAAATAGCCCCAGTAAATGCTGCAGGTCACTGGCCAACAACGTCAACAGGACCATGTCATCTGTGAAAAGCGAAGATGAGATCCTGAGGCCCCCAAACCAGATCCCTTCTGCCCTTTGGCTACGGCTAGAAATTCTGTTCATAAAAGTTATGAACAGAATTGATGACAAGGGGCAGCCTTGGCAGGGTCCAACACCTACCAGGAATGAGTCAGACTTACTGCTAGCGCTGCGAACCAAACTCTCACTCTATTTGTACACGGACCTGATGGCTCACAACAACAGACCACAGACCCCATACTCCTGGAGCACCCTCCACAGGACCCCCAGAGGGACATGTTCGTATGCCTTTTCCCAAGTCCATGAAACACATGTAGACTAGTTGGACAAACTCACATGAACCCTCCAGTATCCTTGGGAGGGGGAAGAGCTGGTCCAGTGTTCCGTGGCCAGGATGGAATCTGTATTGTTCCTCCTAGATATGAGGTTTGACCAACTGGCGAACCCTCCTCACCAGTACACCAGTACCAGAACCCTCCTTTTCAGCCCTACCACTGAAAAGTTTTTTGACTACTTCAGTGACCTCAGCCCTAGACATGGGCAAGTCCCCCTCTGAGTCTTCCAGCTCTACTTCCTCCAAGGAAGGCATATCAGTGGAATTCAGGAGATTGAGGTCAACAGTTCTCCATCCCTGCTGTAAATAGCATGGGTAAAGCCCTGCTTCCCCCCTCCTGAGTAGCCTGATGATTTGCCAGAACCTTTTCAAGGCCATCCGAAAGTCCTTCTCCATAGCCTCACCAAACTCCTCCCACACTCAAATTTCTGCTTCAGCAACTGCTAAAGCCACTTTCCGCTTGGCCTGCTGCTACCTGTCAGTTGCTTCTGGAGTCCCACAAGAACCAAACTTGGAAGGTCTCCTACTTCAGCCTGACAGCTCCCTTTACTGTTGGTGTCCAGCACTGGTTCGGGAATTGCCACTGTGACTGGCACCAACAACCTTACGACCACAGCTGCCGGAGATGTGAGTTAAAGATCTGCTGGACAAAGGCCTCTGCCAGACACTCCCAGCATGCCCTCACTATGCAATTGGGTCTACCAGGTCCATCTTGTATCTTCCTCCGCCATCTTGTATCTTCCTCCGCCACTGGATCCAATTCACCACCAGGAAGTGATCAGTTGAGAGCTCAGCTCCTCTCTTCACCCGAGTATCCAAAACATGCAGACGCAGATCCGATGATACAATTACAAAATTGATCATCGAACTGTGGCCTAGGGTGCTCTGATGCCAAGTGCACTTATGAACACTCTTATGTTTGAAGATGGTGTTTGTTATGGACAAACTGTGGTTAGCATAGAAGTCCAGTAACTGATCACCGCTCGGATTCCAATTGGGTAGGCCATTCTTTCCAATAACACCCTTCTAGGTTTCACTGTCATTACCCACGTGAGTACTAAAGTCCCCCAGGAGAACAATGGAGTCCCCAGAAGGGGAGCCATCCAGCACAACCTCCATAGTCTCCAAGAAGGCTGGATACACTGGACTGGCGTTTGGGGCGTATGCACAGATAACAGTAAGAGCCCGTCCCCGACACAAAGTCAAAGGGAGGCAACCCTCTCATTCACCAAGGTGAACTCCAATGTACCAGCACCCAACCAGGGGGCTATAAGTAGGCCCACCCCTGCCCAGCACCTCTCCCCATGGACAACTCCAGAATGGAATAGAGTGTAGCCCCTCTCCAGGAGTTCGGTTCCAGAGCCCGAGCTGTGTGTTGAGGTGAGCCCGACTATATCTATTTGGTATCTCTCTACCTTCCGCACCAGGCTCAGGCTCCTTTCCCACCAGAGAGGTTACGTTCCATGTGCCAACAGCCAGTTTTGGTAGCTGAAGATCAGTCCGTCTAGGCCCCTGTCCTCAATTGCCAGCTGATCTACATTGTACCCAACCCCCACAGCTCCACCTGCAGGTGGTGGGCTGAAAGGGGGGCGAACCCATGGGTTGGAGCTCGGCCACCAGCCACTCGCCTTCAAGGGGCTGCATTTTATAATTATCATTGTTAATGAATTACACTAAAAATCCATTTAGAGTTCACCTACTTTAACACCATGTTGCAATAAAATATCTATATTGGGATCCCTCTATAAAGTTCCCAATTGCACATAAATGCTAAAATACCACAATAAACAAACGGAGCCCCAGCCTCGTCATGACAGCATTCCCTTGCTCCCCTGGGCTCTAAATGGGTCACTCCTGCGCCCTCCCTCACCTGGAGGCTGGCCCTTCTTTTTGTCTGGGCTCCAGGTGTCTGTGCAGGTCTCCAGGACTGCAGAGAGGAACAGCAAGGCAGTCTTCTTCCTCTGGTAACTGAGGCCCGGTGCCACGGATGTGAAGGCGAGGCGGGCCAGCCAGTCTACCAGGTCTGAAACAGATTCAGAAACACTGATGCTCTTAGCAGATCCACTCCTCAGCATGCTCCTACATTAAAGTTCTGAAGGAGACAATAAACGTCCTTTTTCGGGCATGTAGACAGGCTCGTGTACTCAGCTCATTCAGCCATGAGGGAGGTCAGGACAGATTAAACAGCAGGGGCATCCATACCTGCTTGTGGACACATAGTCCAAATACAACTTCACAGAAAATGATCATGATTATTATTAGAGATCACATCAACAGTCAGCCCATCCACTTCAGCCCGACATGGAAGTAGACATCTCATCAAGAGACTGCTGTACAGCAGTTTGCTTTACGGTCAAGATATATAACCCAGAGGCTGACAAAGTTAAAGTCCTAACAGGGATTCTGCTGAAGACCCTATCTCCATAAATAGGCATAATACAAGTTTAAATATATATGATCGACCCACAGTTCATTGCTTCATAAAAATTTCATCATAAAAAATATGTTCCTGATCTCACCTACTCCTTGCTCCAGCAGGGAGTCCATCTCGTTCTCCTGACCATTGTCTCTGCCACATCCTTTCCTCTCCTTCCGGAGGCACGCCAGGCAGCCATCCCGGATACGAACCAGGAGCTTCTTCACCATGGCTTGGAGCTGCTGGCGGAAGGGGGACGACTCACTGTTCAGGTTGAGAGGGATGAACTGCTTGAGGGTAGCGAGCTCCAATGGCGAAGGGGGGTGTCGGATCCTGGGGCCCCCACACAGAAGGCCGAGTGCAGCCAGACGGACACTTTCATCCAGAGAGCCCAGAGCCAGCTGAACGGTCTCCTGGGACAGGCCTTCCTCAAGGGACCAGGATCCGCCCATCACCCGCCAGGTGCCCACGAGGCAGGCCCAGGCACGAAGGTGACCAGTGCTGGCACCTGAAAGCGAAGCTTGGAGGATCTCAAAGGCTCCCGGGAAGGTGCGCAGGGTCCATGGCAGGAGGTGACTGGAGGCATTGCTCTGGAGAAGCATCATGTCTGAGGTCAAGGCCTCCAGAAGGGCAGGACGCCACCTCTGGGCCCACATCTCTGCCAGTTCCAGCTCTGAAGGGGAGGGCCCAGGAGCCACAGCTGCACAAAATTCCCGCCTCTGCTGCTGGATCAGCGACTTGTAGGTCTCTGAGGCACACGGAGACAGGTGATTGGTGGAGAGGCACTTCAGGAGATCCCGGGGAAGATCTGGGAAGCGTTCAAACACCTACAGCCAGGAAGCAAACAGGCATCAGATCAGGCATTTGAGAACATGCACCTGCTTCCCAAAAGGTGTCAGAGAGTTGAGCTACATGCATGACAGAGGGAAGGGGGAGGAGCTAAAGCAAACATCTCTCACTAACATCCACAACTGAAGCCACATGAAGCTTCTACTCACCACGCCGCTGCCGACATACGGCAGGAGTGCACAAAGGGGGAAGTACTTGGCCTTTGCCTCCCAGGACAGGGCAGCCACATAGCTCAGCAGGGAAGAGTACAGAGAAATCTCCATCTCTGGGAAGCGACGCCGCTCCAGGTCGAGAATCTCCAGCAGGAGGCGGAAGGAGCAGTGCACGGACTCCGACACACCTTCCACCTGATGGTCACATCGGACATGTTAGCCAGGAGGCTCTGTGCCAAACCCGAGACAGAGGCAGCTGTAGCCCCGAGGTACTCATGGCTCCCAATAAACCGACCTTGATGGGAATTGTGACTGTTATAGTGTTAGCCAAGTAAACCGGAGCAGCCCTAACTTCACAAATTGCTGATAATAAAATATGGTACAATCTAATCAATATTAAATATAAATATTAAATAGTAAAAGTCAATCGAGAAAATACTGAAAATAATCACCAATTAGATGACAACATTAACAATTAAACATGAGTATCAACTTCAGAGAAGGTGAAAAAACATCCAAGTATCTTTTCAAATGGAGAAGCCAAACAGAGAGTAGACAGATAATTGTCTTTTCACCATCCAGTTACAAATTTGGTTTATCTGACAGGCACCTAATCTGTGACCCCTGTTCTGAAACTTACAGGGCTTTCTGCGATGTTCCAAACGACCTGGACAAGCTGTCGACACAGAATGGAGTCCTCCGGCAGCAAGGGGGCGCTCTTCAAGTCCCATAACTCCATGAGGCACTCCTTCACTTGCCTCAGCCACAGTACAAGCACTGTCAAAAGCCAATGTCAACAATGAGAGAGACAGCAGTGGCTCTACAGTCATGCAAAAGACCCAGACCCCAGATTATGGTCATGTTCACTGTACCTTGAAAGACGTAGTAGTGACAGTCAAAGCTCTTCTCACATAAAGCTGAAACAATTGGGAACAGCCCCTCCAGAAGCAGACATCTCTAAGAAAGAGAGAATCATCCTGTGTTTAGGACAAAATGGAGAGACACAATAACTGAGGAAAATCTGAAGGCCTACTTAAATTTACAAAAGATCTATAAGATCCCAAACATATTATCAACTGCTATAGTTAACTAGCTAAATCAGACAAGTTCACACACAACTACTGTGCCTAGTACGTTTGAAAACCTGTGGCCTGTACTATGAGGCGGGGTTACTGGCTTATCGGGGTAACTTAGGTACCACGGGATTTAAGGTACCACAGTTTAAATGGACTTCATATTCGTTCACTTACATTTTGCCCAGACTACTTTAAATCCAACAAGTTACCCCGATAAGCCAGTAACCCCGCTTCATAGTACAGGCCCCTGCTATTTAATTACATTAGGCTAAATTAGGAACTAAATTAACCTTTTTTTTAATTTTGAACACTAAGTTGGGGCTGGAACACAAGAACAAAAACGTTAAAATAGTGGTTCAGCTTGGTACAGGTTTATTTCATTTCTGAGCCCTGTTTCAGCTCGGAGTGTAACATACTGAATGATATTAAGAGGTTTCTCCCCATCATATTACACAGTCACTGCTATAGCCTCGTCCCCCAATCCCCCCGCACAGGATTAGTACCTCTTTGCCGCCCCCGCCACAGAGCAGCACGTCCTTGCGGCAGCATGACAGCAGCCCTCTGCTCACTGCCAGCCTCCCCATACAATCCTGCCGCGGCCTGCACTGCACCCTCAGCTCCCCAACACGCAGTTCTCGGGGCTCTGACAAAAGACGCTCATTAACCTTAATCATTATTAATATTATTATTCCTATTTCACTTCATATGTGAAGCAGGAATGCTGCAGCACTATTAATTAAATGTGAGGAACTCACCCCCACACTGTGTCCTATTTAGTAAGTGTCCCAACAGAACTGTTTATAGAGAGCAACAATTTTACATTTTATTCACTAACACAGTAGGATAGATTATTTTAGGAATGCAGTTTAATTATAAATCTGATTCCAGACTGACCATGTAGATAAAGCTTATTTCAAAGCAGAATGCTTCGTAATGTTGCCCACAGCACAATGCTTTCCTCTTAACCTAAGCCTTTAACCATAGGTGATGCTGTTGACCAGGCTGACCTTGGCATGTGACCTCTAGCATGTTCCACGCAGCTGTGGTTCCGCCCTCAGCCGTCGGGGAGGTGTTGCTCAGCATGACCATGGCCGTGCCAGCCAGAAAGCGGGTGTCCCTGCTGGAGCTCTGGGCACAGATACGAAACAAGGGAAACAGATGCAATTGTTCCCCCACAAAATAACATCTCAAATTCAACTGCTTACATCACAGCATATGTCCTATGTAGCTGACCTATGTAGGACCCTGTTACACATGATGCATTAGATTAATTTTTCCATTTAAAGAATTCTTCTGCAACATTGAGGGCAGCATGTGGCTCAGTGGGCTAAGGCTCTGTGCCTGTGGTCAGAAGGTCGCTGGTTTGAGTCCGGCCTCAGCACATTTGTGGGTCCTTGAGCAAGGCCCTTAACCCACACCTCTGTGAGTACTGTTATGGGTGGCTGCCCTTCACAGCCAGTTTGCTCTCACCTACAGAGACCAAGTTGGGGGAGGCATAAAGAGAATTTCCCCACAGGGATCAACTATTGTTACTACATTTCAAAACATCATTATTATGCTGATTTTAATGAAAACTGTCTACTATCAATCAAACTTTATACGATATTAATTATATTTACATATTTTTAAACTGCCCCTTATCAAGTTCTAGTTTCTTATGGTTCCCAGAAGCCCTTAATGCAATGTATTCCAAATTATGAGTAAAAGCTCATGATTGATACCTCTCCTAGGATAATATCCATCAAGTACTTCAAAATGTCTGGCAGAGGTGAGACAGCGCCCCCATCCTTCCACACCAGAGGGGTTACCTCTTCAGGCAACAGCTGGAACATCTGCAGACACACCTGTGAGTGCAGGATTTAGATGGTGAGCCTCGTTCATGCAGGTCCTTTTATTAGCCACTATAAACATGATACTGGCGTCACAGACCACCTGACCAACCTTGACGGCATTATAACATGCGTCTCCATTTCTTAAGACCTCCTGCTCCATGATGCTGGAAAATGCCTGGTCCACTTTGTGGAGCAAAGAGGGGAAAGCCTGTCTCAGAACTTCCCGGCCCATTGTGCTGTCCTCCAGGAACATGCAAACTGTGGAGAGTGCATATTCACACATACACAACAGCAATTTTGGAAAAACCCCAATAACAGTGCATTTTACAACAGACATCAGCTGTCAGTGTCAAACTCACCTGTTTGAAGTCCCATCGCCTCCAACATCTATTGGACATCAAACATAAATTACATAAACTGGTTATAACATACCTCTATCATCAGAAATACACTTAATAAACCAACTAGCGGCTACGTCAATGACACAGTACCTGATCCGAATCCATTACAGAATTCAAACACTTTTGTACCTCTTCGAAAACGAGAGAAAGGTTGATCTCTGAGAAATGTTGCATCATCTGTTATTGGGTGTAGTTTGGGAAAATAAAACAAAACAAAAAAAATTACAAAAAATATATTCACTGCTTCTGTCACATTTAACCCAGAGGGAATGGGCAACAACCTGGTCCAGTTTCCGGAAGACTGTGGAGACCTGCAGAGTTTCCAGCTGCATGGAGATGATTAACTGTATTAGAGGCAGCATGTACTTTATTTCTAGGGACTCCAGCAGATTCTTCGATATTCTCCTGAGCAGCTGGGAAGCTTCTTCCAGGTTTCTCTCCTTGCATCGCTTCACATTGCTCCTGCACATATAAACCATAGAATGGTGATTCACCCAACCAGTCATGATACTTTTCATCCCGCCAGGCGAATTGAAATAATACAAAGAGACATGTTCCGTTACCACATCTGACAGCTTTCAAATTATTGTACTTTTCATTTTACCTCAAGCAGTCGCCCAGATTTTTGATGAAAATAGGGAATGCAGTTTTAATATTAACATGTATGTCACCTCCAGCGTTTAAAAAAACTAGACTGCACTCATCCAACTGGCGCTGCAATGACTCGTTCATAGACATTTTAAATTTGTCTTTATGGATTTCGGACGAGCAAAGAAGATTTCACACTATATACATGCACACGATTCTCTATTTACTACATACAGCACGTTCGTGTAGAGAAAAAACTGCAATGAACAAGAAAAGTTCAAGTCAGAAATCGTTTACACTTCGATACTATGCAACGAACAAACGCCACCTAGCCGATTGGATGTATTACATTTCACTTTCAGTTGACACGGTTTTATCTTACCGTGCACTGCTACATGGTCCAAAAAGCTTTGTGCACAAGGTTATTCAAACAAAACCTCATGTATATTTTAGTGGGTTAAAATACAATATTACACAATAATAATTTAATAAAGATAAATATGCATTGTGTTGTGTAATGACTGAGAAGTGGGTGGAAAATTAAATATGTTAGGGGCGATTCACCACTGTTGCCCGTAAGGGGCGCTGTTTTCTGCCGCGTTGTCTATTGAAAAGCTTTAGCTCCTCTTGAACTGGCAGGCGGGCTGTCGCAGTCGCAGTCGCCTCGTTGCCATGGTCATCGTGTCAACAGTTCGCAAATATGGCTGCTGTAGCGCTGTACTGCTGTAGTGAAATAGTAAACAATCATTCTTGATTTATTTATATATAATTATGACCATAATTTTATATAAAAGCTTGTATATTATTCTTATTGCACTTATCACTGAAGCATATGGAAATGTTGGTAAGTTTTTCGTACGTTAAATAACTATTGCTTGTTGCTTAGGCGAAAAAAGCTAATCTGGGGTACGTTTCTCGAAAACATAATGATAGTTGCTAACTATGTTAGCAAATTACATTATTGGAACCATGCAACTGAATGGTTCAAACTATGTAAGGTACTAACGGGGGCTTTTAGAAAATATGCCCCTGGTCAGCTGCTATAAACCGAGCGAGTAAACTAGCAGATCAAAGAAAGAAATCAAAATATTGACTAGATTGTGGTTGATTCTGTAGCAAAACAATATAATTCGTGTTATACGTAAATGCGTACTTTTGTTGTAATGAAATTTATGGATCCCACAAAATGATGAAGTGAATGAATTTTGCATGAAGAATAATGTGGAGTATGTATGAGCGTAATTATTTCCTTTTCAGCTTTCCAGCCAGCATCTATCACAGCCTCTGGACCAAAAGTGACAGCCTTCTTACTGGGAAACACCTCTGGAGTTTCCCTTACTCTCAACAGAGTCCAGACATCCAATATAACTGGTACATTAATGAAACAAGTCACTGCTTTAAACTAAAATTATGAATGATCATTGTTGAATATTTCCCAAAACAATGTTAACTTTTTTCCTTCTTGTTTTGTAGATCGTCTTCCACCCCCATCTTGTGGAAAGAGAGATTCTGGGCAGTGGGATATTACCACTGAGACCTTAACCAAGGTGGAGTCAGATATTTCACACTCCATAAGTGCCAGATAGTAATAGCTTTATAATATCTTTTAACTAAGCATGCATGTAAAAGTTTATAAAAGTTATGTGTTTTTTCATCAAAAGCATCATTTTTGGATTATTGTGGTCCTTTATTTGAAAAACAGTAATGAAGGATGAATAGATGGATAATAAATCAGCTTGATTCCCCTAGGCTCCATTTAACCAGCTCTCCTTCAATGCTTGCTGCAGAATGTGCTGAAGGTTGAGCTGATCCTGAACCGCAGCCTGCAGCTCTGTGGAAACAACACAGACTGCTGTCCTCAGCTGCTGTGTGTGCTGGAGACGCTGCGGGTGTCAGCCTGCCGGGGAGACTCACATCAGGCCACGCTGCTGGTGCAGGCTGAGATTTATGCCCTGGATCTTCCCACTGGGCCTGCATCTTGTGAGTGAGCTCCTTATGTCACACATGCTTAATTTTGTAAAATGTACAGTAATACATGAACACAAATGACATGCTTATACCACCGGCCCTCCGTATCTGTGGGAGACCGGTTCCCCATGGATACCAAAATCACTCTAAAGACTATAGGGATTATATTTTAACCAGTGGCCTTTGTTATCAGCTCAGTAAAACAGTCTGGGTAATGAGAAAGGAGAGTATCTCTGGCATTCAGCCTCATCAATACAGCAAACCTGAATGCTAGGAATGGAAAAAATGAATGAATGACTGATTGAATATGATGAGAGCCTTCCCAAATTTAACTTTCAGTGTAGTGCTTGGAGTACGGCAAATTCAAGGTTTGCTTTTTGGAACTTGGATATTTTCAGTCTGAGGTTGGTTGAAACCACAGATACAGAGGGCTGACTGTATTTATTTTTATTGATAAGGATTTGTAAAATTAACTATAATCTTTTTTTTTCTGAAGGTAAGCAGTGTATGTGTCATGTGTATAATAATTCCTGCTCTTACACTCTTGTGCTCCCAGACAATAAAACTGTGATTCCCAACCAAGTTTACCAGCCATTAGGCCCATGTCCCTGTGATCTTACAGCTGGAACCTGCGACATACTTTGTTGTTGTGATCAGGTAATGCTGTTTTGATGCAGGAAATGCTGTTGTAAATTTGAGAGAGATTACTAATAATGGAGAAGTCTTTTATCATGCAGTATAGTCATCACTGCTTGCGTTTACCATACATTATTTCCTGACTAGGGATGCATGATAATATCGGTCACCGATAATTATCGGCCGATAATGGCAATTATGACGTCACACCGATAATTTTGATAATGAAAAATTCAACCGATAATGAAATCCGATAATTATTAACTTAATTTAGCCTCCAAATTTGCGCAGTTCCTACTACTGTAATTCTGCACAGATCCTACTGCGGCGCCACCACTGCTCATGTCGCATGTGTGATGCTTAAGATAACATGGCGGTTCCTTCACCAGTATGGGTCTACTTTTCCGTGCAAATGTAATGGACGAAAAAAGAAACCGCTTAAGTTGTGAGAAGGCAGAGCAGCTTCTATTTATCAAGAAAAATCTTCCACTGATTCACCCTCAGTTAAAAAAAAAAAAGAGGTTGAAGAGTAGCATTTTGTGCTCGTTTTGGTTTTAAATTGAGCCATATTGCATTTTCTTGCACTTTGAGTGTTATTTTGATTTTCACTAGTATGAATTTTGTGGTTATATTCTGTTCTGTGAATAGACCAATTATGTTGACACTGACTTCGCATCATTCTTTAATGTTATGTTCAACATTACAAAAAATGGCTTACTTTTAAGAGCCTTGTTGTGCAATGAAGTATTTCATTTTTTTTTTCCTAAAAGCTTACCATTACACATTGACAATTTGTTGTAGGTTGGATGTTGGATTTGATGCCTGTCCACATTAATGTGAAAAAGTAGAAATAAATTCTGCTTTTGTAAAGTTACATTTGTTCTTGTTTTTCTGTACTCCTTTTTTTATTAGGTCTTTTAATACAAATATCGGTTTGACATTATTGGCTATCGGCTGTAAGGAGGAGCAAATTATCGATTATCGGTATCGGTTGAAAAATGCATTATCGTGCATCACTATTCCTGACCATGCATTATATTTGCATTATTCTTTCTCCTCTTCTTGTCTATCTGTATCAGGACTGCTCCCCTGACACCCAGCGGCTCTTTAAGTCCCAGTGCATCCCAGGACCGTTTGGTGGCTCTGTTGCTCCCGTCCCTGATTACCAATGCTCTGAGCAATCCTCTAGAAACGAACCGGATTGGTTTCCCTTCCTCTGTGTCACCTCCCCGCCGGAAAACAGCCCCTTTCTGGGTCTCTTCTACCAGGGGGAGATGATGTGAGAATGCTGCCCTGTGTGGTCATGCCGTTTCGGGATGTTTCCTGTATTTCTCTGCTGGATGGGTGTTTCGTTTGGGTCACCATCAGTTTACAGTCGTTGCTATTTTTTTCTGGCCACTTAAGCATTTATGGTATCCATCTGTGTATTTCTGAGTAACTTTTTGAATTACCGTCCTGGGAAGCCCCCAGATACACACGCTGATGATCAGTAGTTCAGTAGCACGTCTCGAAACACCATGAGGGCAGTCGGGGGGAACATGCATGCAACTCTGTGGATTTTATATCTCTTAAATTTGAGGTGACCACGCCTCCTTCCTGGTGTTTATATATCTTCCATACAAAAGCATGCAGAAGCATCAAGCAATTCTTACACTCACTTCAACTGAGAGTGGAGTGTTTCCTTTCCTTCTTTCCGTAGCGTACCCAGGCGTAACCCATCCTTTGTGGGCCACTCTCCTTCCCCTGCACTTCCACTCAGCTCCTACCACCAGGGAGATCCCATCTTCACGGAGGATGGCCAGTATTTTACGATCCCCCAGGTCAGAGCCCTTCACAGTCATGTTCCATTCCAGAGATCCACGACCCAGATCCCGTAGAACCTTCTTCACTGAGCCATACTCTGATCCGGTTTCCCCACAGAGATCCATGGTGGGCCAGTGTGTCAGCAACGCACCGGTAGCCTTCCTGCAGGACTTCCGTGCTTGGTGCCCAGGTCGTCTTCAGTCCTGCCCAACGTCTCCTGCGCTGAGGCTGAGAGTCAGGGATGGATTTGGGGGTAAGGGAGTCTCCCTGGGACAAAGATGTGCTCACTAAACATTTTAAATCTGAACAATTATACTACTGCCTTTGGTGATATACTACTGTCTCTGTGGTGAATGAGTGTCTGAATCAGTATAGCTGACCTGCAGATGTAGTATATGTTTGTTAGGATGTTCACCCCTGCTGTGAACCTGCTCTCTCCAGGTGTGGTCACAGTGCGTGTGGAGGAGGTGCTCACCAAAGACCTGAGCCCCTTTGTGTCTAGCCGCGGTCAGGCTGAGAAACGGAACCCTACAGAGTCCTCATGGTTCTCTGGGAAAGCACAAGCCTCACCTGCAGGTGAGGTTAAATACTACACTGAGCATGCTCAGAGAGGCACTGGTTCTTTCTAACAATTCTTAACTACAACCAGTGAGTTATTAATGGTCCTGTATCTTCTAATACAGATTAAACTGGGTTCCTTAAAGTCAGAATTGGGAGACCCTAAACTATACAGTTTCTCAGAATCTGTGAATACATATTGGTTGCTAATGAACAGGGAAGGTGAGATCCTATATTATAATTGTTTGGGTGGCAGAAAATGTGTTTTATATCAGTGTTTACATGTTCAATCTTTTTGCTTCCTGGGGATTT